GAATTTACAACAAAAGACAGTACAAAAGGTTAAAAACAAATAAAACATTTTTAAAAAGCAATTGCATAAGCATTGCGTTCACCTCTTTACAGTGACTGACCACATACAGCAGCACAGGTGCAGTCAGTCGGTGCTTCAAGTCACACAATTAGGGAAATGAAGATCATCTGAGTGCAGTGAACGTGTCTCAAATGATTGGATTATAAAAACACTTGTATCTGGACAGTCCAATCGCTGCTTAATCAATACACCTGGAAATTACTACACAAGAACTTTCCAAGCAACTCTGTGAAAAACTAAAGTTTTGATAACTTTTAAGAACAAACGGCTCAACTAGTGTAGAGAGAAGGCATGTGGGAGACTCTGAAGCCAACTGAAGGAAAGCTCTTTGGTCTAAAGACACCAAAATCACTAGACTAGACACTATGTTTGGTGGATATATCATCACAAAGAAATCTAACCCACTGTGAAGCATGGTGGTGGCAGCATCATGATGTGAGGATACTTCTTGGCAGCAGGTCATGGAAGGTTTGTGAAGGTAGATGCTCATAGGGAAATCCTGGAGAACAACCAGAGACCAGATCCCAATCTAACTGAGAACTTTGGCTTGACTTGAAAAGGGCTGTAGACTCACGATTCCTGTGCTACCCAACAATTTGGCAAAAAAGAATGGTGGAAAATTGTAGTGTCCAGATGTGCAAGGCTGATTGAGACTCATCCACACAGGCTCGATGCTGTAATTGGAGCCAAAAGTGCACCTACTAAGTACTCTCCTAAAGTTACTGACATTACTTTGTTGAAATATCTTTGACTTTGACACAAAAGAGTCTTCTTTGTAAATTCTTGACATAAAAGACTGACCTACTGTCGGTGCCTTCAGAGTCAACACATCTCAAACCAACTGAGGGGTTTAAGGTGTGATGGGAGCTTCTAGACCCATCTGGTTATTTTGGTTATGACACTCTCACACCAAGAGGATTGATTAGCATCAGTGTCAATAAATCCATAAAAGGAAGATTAAATTTCCCCAGCAACCTTTTTGTCAAGAACTCTTGACAAGAAATATGCGGCGTGAGTCACTGGTTCAGGGTTGGGACGTCCCCGAGATAAATCTGAAGGACTGTGGAATGATTTGCAGGACACTCAGACAGAGGAAACCATTTGCTAAATTCTTTTTATCTTTCCAGATGTTGCTCTAGGTTTTGCTTTTTTTTTTTTTCGGCTGAATTTGTGCCTGATGTTGGTCTTGAATGGAACCAAAGTAAAAAAAAAAACTGATAATGATTGAAAACTATCATTATTAAAGGGGATCCATCAAATTACAACAAGGTGAATGAAATACAATAAAATACACCAGATAGAAATAGAATTCATTTCAACAGCAAGAAAATAAATGTAAGGTTTATTTTAAAAGATCCATTTTAGGAAATTATATGAACACGTTCCTGATTCTACAAACTTCAGATCCTCAGTGAGGTTTAAGCCGAGAGGCCTTGATAGGAAAAGTCTGATCCGATTAGGTCTTGAGATGAAAATCAGGAACCACACTTATGTTTCTTTATCAGTAAAATCTAAAAATCTACAAAAACTAAAGAGGCTATGATCTTGCTATGAGTTAAATCAGCAGTGTTTAGAACTAGCTGAAGGAATGACATATATTTCTGGCTGAATACAGACAGTGATAATAATAAAGATGTGGCGATACGAGAGCATGTTTGACCTTCTCAAGATCAGTACAAGAAAAAAAAAAAGAAATGCGGCTCAGTTGCACTACTGTAGATTGACTGTCAAAAGACGGGTCACTGTCCAGAACTTCACCCAGATTTAGCCACTGGTTTGACATCTGATGACAAGATACGAGCCCAGAAAGCTGGAAACCACTGATCTAAATTGTACTACTCAGCCTGAACTGACAGGAAGCATTAAACAGTTACATCTTTTGTATCGGTTCATATAGCCGCTTTAAAATAAAATAAAGGCCTCGACTCGCAAACAAGATAAAAATGTTACATAAAAATACATATGGAAGGTTTCACATGTAAATTCAAGTAGTTTTGTTATTTTGACCCTAATAATATGTTCAGAAATCAGTATCAGCTCAGCAACTGGCCAAAAGGAGGTGGAAAAAACTGAATATTGTGCATCACTTTTCTACTTTCTAAACACTTGAGGTTAAGATTAAAAGTTTATCGTTAAAGGGCACACCACAAATGAAATGCTCACCTTGATTCCCCAGTGTTAGCACAAAACGTTCGACACACAAACAACTTTACTCGATAATAATTATTTGCTTTGACCCAGACCTGGTGCTATCTTTTATATCACTGCAGGGTTATTAGCTCAACGCATGGATGCATGAACTGGTGTTGGACAAACAAGTTTTACCTTAAAACCGTCAAAGATTGTGCTGTTAGTTCCCCAAAATAATGCAGGAATGACAAGGACACACAAATGAGTAACAAAGAAAGATTGAAAAAGAACTCGATTCAGCAAACAACACATTACTGACCCAATTTGGATTTTTTGTGTGTGTGTGTCACTAACTGTCCTTTTGCTGCCCAGAAAACTGATGTGAGAGGGCAGAGAGCCACTTATTAAAGAGAGGAAGATAAAACGACAGAGAAGAAGCAAGCAGAGCCAGAAACCGGAGAGAAGGAGTGCAGGGAGCGAGAAAGAGTGCGAGAGAGGAGGAGAGAGATAAAAAAAAAAAAAAAAGGATACGAACAGAGGAATAAAAGGAGAGCGAGGAGCTTACGCAGTGAAAAGAGCACATTATGGGCGACCTGCTGCGACAGTAGTGTGGGGAACGGTGAATAACTGCCTCCATTTAGACCAGTGTCCTGGTGGTGTGGAGCTCGAGGCCTCGGATGGACACACACACTCAAAAAAAAAAAAAAAACACACCAAAATACATAAGCAAAAAAAGAAATCCTTTGAGAAGCACAAATTGATACCTGACACACACACACACACACACACATGCCCAGACGCCTCCTCCGTCCCTCTCATTCACACATTTCTCCACATTGGCCGGATTAGGAACACTTTCTCTTGGGTGTGCGAGGCTGCCCCGCACACAAAGAAACACTTGGGGACAGGATTAGTAGGCTTACAGCGGATTCACATATGTCCAGTTCAAGCAATTGGTATTCAAAGCTTTACACTTTCAAATGCCACCAAGAGAGAGCAAAGCCGACCAGCGCTTTTCTTTGCATTGGCAGCACCTTTATGAGAAGGGCTCTTTTGCTGGGCCAACAATGCGGCCGTGAATACACATTTTTACTGTTCTACCAGGGGGATCTCATTGGCGAAGGATCGAGCACCGAGTGGAGTTTGGAGACTTTATTATCCGGGTTTGAAGTGCTGGGTGGGTGGGTGGGAGTGCAGACGGACGGATGGACGGGTAGACGGACAGATGGATGGATGGAGAGATGGCGGAGGTGGTGCTGGTCAAGAGAGGAAGAGTGCTTCAGTTACTTCCACATGTTATTGTTGGTGGCCCGTTCCTCCACTCCACCTCGACAAAACAGATCTGGAGTAGACTCTTCAGAGTGGAGAGAGCGCTCTCAGCAGCTCAATATAGACAATACTGACTCAATTTGGTGCTTTTGCTTCCTAATATTTTAACACGGCAACACCTTTGAAGATCTGTCTGCTGGCTTTAGTCATAAATAAAAAGTGAAAACGTGTGAGTTTGCACAGAGTGGTTAATTATTTTGAAACAGCAGGTTGATTTTAATATTTAATAATGTTTCTCTAACAGTTTGTTTTGTGGATTTGTAATTAATTTGTGTTTTTTAAGATTGTGTTTGTGTGTTTTTAAAGAGTTGCTGCTGGAATGTTACTGGTTTAATTGTCATTTAGTTTTTATTTGGGAATAATAGTTTGCATTTGTGAATTTTAAAGTGCAGAATTAATAATGAAAGTTGTTCTTTTTCTATGTGTATACAATAAAGTAAGATTACAACTATAATAATAATATTATGACATTAACTGATTTTCCTCCACTAACATGGAAGCTGTGCTAAGTTTAGTGTAGGTCCAGCCATGAGGTAAACCCTGACGCCCACATGCTGCCATATGGCCAGCAGAGTGCCGAGTGTCGGAGCGGGAGTGTTACCTCTGTCCCAGCGGAGGCCCTGCACCCCCGCGGCCGCAGGAGCCGCTGAATGGGAAAGAAGCAATTTCCCTTCCCATTCCTCCTCATTCCCTCCGGCAACCAAGCGGCCGAAGCGCTGCTGAGACTTTGGTTCTAAATGTCCGACAGACAAATGAGCCAAAAAAAAAAAAAAAGATAAAGTTTTAAAGAAAGCACAGCAAGATTTCTCCTCTTCGTGACGCATTCAGGTATTCATTTTTAAATGACATTTTTTTTTGGCTGTGGTTCTGTGCGTAAAATTTAAACCGTGCGCAAAGATGCCCAGCAGAGAATTTAGGGTTTACGCAGCAGTTTAAAAAATAAAATAAAATGGGTTCTGGCTAGTTTGTCCAAGGAAGAGCAAACTTTGTGATCCGAGAGGAGAGGAGAGGCGCGCTGTGCCCCCCAACAGCGTCCTGACAATGGCAGTGAATGGTTGCGCACCGCGGTCACTGGGACAGTCAAAGCACACCGCCCCCTTTCTAACGGGCACGTCATCCTCCTAACTAGGCGTTATGAATAGGAAAGCCGCTTTTGTCTGTCCGCATGTATAAATACCCACTATCAGTGTCCTCCTCACCGCAGAGTTACTGAGACACACGCAGGGAGAAAGTCGGCAGCCACAGACGCAAAAGTGGTCACCGATGTGATAAGAAGGCTCAGAGGCGCGGGACAGGAGGGTTTACAGGCAACATCAGGTGACCAGAGCGACTAAAAGGCTCCAGAAAGAGAGAAAGGGGGGAGACAGGGGGAGTAAAAGGAGAGAGAGAGAGAGGGAGTGGAGAGAGTGAAAGTGAGAGAGAGAGAAGGAGGAAGCCAGCAGCGACCTCCTACCCAACAACCTCGGAAGCAAACCCATAAAATGAATTCAGACTCCAGCCCGAGCAGCAGAGCCTCTTCCCCGGACATGGACGGCATGTTTCTGCGAGACCACCACCCGCACCACCATCACCACCACCACCACCACGTCGGCTCCTCCGTGTCCTCCTCCACGCAGAGCGGCGAGCAGCAGCGTCAGAAGATGACCGGCGCCGAGCACCTGCGCTCTGGAGACCCCAAGTCAGTAGGAAGCAGCAGCAGTAGCAGCAGCAGCAGCAGCAGCAACAAGTACAAACTGAAGAAGCAGGTCACCGAGGAGGAAATGTACCAGCTCCGGCTCAAGATTAACGGCCGGGAGAGGAAGCGCATGCACGACCTCAACCTGGCCATGGACGGCCTGCGGGAGGTGATGCCCTACGCGCACGGGCCCTCGGTGAGGAAGTTGTCCAAGATCGCCACGCTGCTTCTCGCCAGGAACTACATCCTGATGCTCACCAGCTCCTTGGACGAGATGAAGCGGCTGGTGGGGGAGATTTACGGGGGGCAGCACTCGGCTTTCCACTGCGGCACCGTTGCGCACGCCGCCGGCGCCGGTGGACACTCCGGAGGTCCCGCAGCTGCAGCCGCCGCCGCTGCCGCCGCCGCCGCACACCAGGTGCACCCTCTGCTCGGGAGCGCGCTGTCCTCCTCCACGTCCTCCACTCTGTCGAGCGCGCTGCCGGGACTCACGTCCATCAGAGCGCCGCACTCCCTGATGAAGGGCTCCCCGGGCGCGCCCCCGGCCCTGCAGCTGGGCTCCGGCTTCCAGCACTGGGCCGGGCTGCCGTGTCCCTGCACCATCTGCCAGGTGCCTCCTCCTCCGCACATCCCCATCACCTCCACCGGCCTCACGAGACTCACAGGGGAGGGGAAGGACGGGATGAAATGATGCTGACACTCAGCAGAGACTCAGAGCTGATGTAAATAGAGAATTCAGGGCATGAGGGTGAATTTGGCCTCACTGGTGCATGTTGTTGTTTAGTCTGTTTTCTTGTTTGGCGTATGAGAAAAAAAAAAAAACACGTGTTATTTTCCTCCTTGTAACAAGGACTTATATAAAGACTGATGATTTTGCCAGTTGAAGGTAAAAAGAAAAAAAGTTGCGTTATGCAACAAGATGCCATGTTCCTCCTGTGTTTCACTGAATTTCCGTCAATAAGAGGTGAAGGAGGCTGCATGAACATTTGAACTCCCTTTGCTTTGTTTATTTTTTATCAGGCGTCATTTTGTGAAAACGAAGAATGCTCTCTGTGCCTTGTACCAAGGATCTTAAACTTGAGTTCTATATGAAAATAATGACATTTATGTGTTTGGCTAAAACGATTTTGCCACCGTGGACATTTGTTTCTAAATCTAAGTTTTTAGATTTATTTGAATTGTGTGGCTCACATGTGATCTCATTTCTGTTTTTTTAATTTTTGTTTTGTTTTATTAAATATGTTTGTCTCTCCTTTTTTTTTTTGTTTGCATGATGGTGTAATTATCACAGCATGTGATTGTTTTTGCTGAACTGAATTTGTTATGCCCAGAGACCCCGTGTCTTTATTTTTGTACATTGTTGATGACTGATGAAATATTTATTATCGCCCAGAGTCCCTGGATGAAATTTCAATAAAACTGGAATTATGAATCATATTCATTGTCTTCTTCTTCTTCTTTTTTTTCCCAAATACTTGAAACTCTACATAATAAAAAAAACTATCTTTTTGTTAAAGCAGCTCAATTCAAGTTTAAATAAGCATCATTAGTTGTCTTTTTAATTCCATAATTTCAGTGTGTGCTGCTGATTCATTTTCAAATAAAAGGCAATCCTCCACCCCCTTAAATCTCTTCCTTTATTTTACCTAAATCATAATAAATTCTCACACATTTTATCATTTAAATCTAGTTTTATATTATATTTTTTCTGTGCAGTGCATTAAACTGCAACAAGGCCTCAGTCAAAAACACCAACATGTATTTACTTTGACACTCCTTTATTTTTTTAAATGATCTCTTATTTGCATTTTTGAACTAAACTAAAATCAAAAGCAGATTTTAAGCAGAAAGTTGGTCAAATATGTTGATTTTATACAAAGTATTTAAAAGGAAACCAACAAGTGAGTGAATGTAAATAAACAATAGATAATTAAGAGTGTTTCCTGCTTCCTATAAATTATTTTATAGAAACTGGAATTCCTGGAAATGAGGCCTAATTATAGCAACATTTTGAGGATTTTGCAACAGCCCTAAAATTAACCAAAAACAATAAATGGGTCAATTTTCTGCAACCACAAGCCACTTCACCACAATTTCAAACCAATTTTCAAACTATTTTATCATCTTCTTCTCTTCTTTCTGTGCCCACACGCCTCATGTTGCACAATAACATCATTTTGCCGTATTTATTTTAACATTTCCGAGCAGCAGACGCAAATGTTTTTGTTAAGGAAAAAAAACACAGGGATGAAAATGAGGCTGAAATGAGGGACTGGGCTGCAGCCTAATGGAGCCCAGCTGAACTGATCCCTGCAGCAGCTCGAAAGTGAACCGCCTCCGGGGAGCGCAGAGCAGTTTGTCCGCCGGGTCCCTTGGGTGTTCCTCCGTCTCATCTCCGCAGCGACAGAATGTATGTTTGTGGAGATTACAAGTTAATTGTTCATGGGGGACCGAGAGGAGAAAATCACATCACAGAGAGGCGTCGGGATTACAGGCTACTAAATGTAGAAGATTATACATTCAGACCCCCTCCTCGGCCTCGCTGCATGCAAATGAGTGTGTGGATTAAAAAAATAAAGAAAGACAGAAAAAGAAAAGGAGAAGAAGCCCTTTTGTAACTTATTTGGAGGGAAGAAAACACAAGTTCTGTGGCTAAGTTGAGAAAGAGTGAAAGAGTTCATTTTACACTTCTCTCTTTTTTTTTTTTTTTTTGTCTTTAGGAATGAGTATAGCCTGTCTGTCCCTCGCAGGCTGCCAGATGGGATGTAAATAGCTGGGTAGCTGCAATGGCCTTTTAACCACACAACACTGAGGAGGATGTTGTCAAGGGAAGCTGGCGGTTTGCGAGTTAATAGTCATGAGTTGGGGTAATTACTTAAGGTTTATTATGCTCTGGTTTCAAAGGAAATGGACTCTTCAATGGGCCGAGAAATACTTCTTAATTCTGGCTAATTAGGAGCTGATTAAGCAGAGACAACTGCTGCTGCTGCTGCTATCAAGCACTGTTACATTCAGAGAGGCAGATCATTTGTAAGTAAGCCACAGAAATAACGCACGGAGCGATCACGCACATGCAAATAGCATGCACAAGACAAATGCAAATCATGCAGTTGCATGTTAAAGAGGTGAATGTAAATCCCTGAGCTTCCAGTTTTTATTTTGGAGGAGTCTAAATCCTGGTCTGATATGAGGATCATATGGTGACAGGAGGCTCTTACTGCTTCCGGCCAGCACTCTGAAATGTACGTTTTTTTTTTCTTTCTATGATTCGAATGAATCTTAAAGGTAAATGAAAAAGTAACTGTACTCTCGCCAGCAATTAGTTAATTATACGTTTTCTGTCGGTGTTTATCGTAATGTTGGGGCTTATCTTCTTGGCAGGGTTCACAAAAATTATCCTCATTAGAATCAGACTTTTATTTGTACTTTTTTTTTTTTGCTTAAATCCCACTGAGATTCAAATTCCTCTTTTTCATGAAGGCAGCAAGGACAGAAAGTTGGAGAGGACATGGAAATGATGCAGCGCGACGAATAAAACCAAGTAAATTTTAAAAAAAAAGTGATTATGTTAAATTAAAGACTGAAATAAGTAAACAGGAAAAAGAAAATTTAGGTGCAGAAATGTTTTGTTGATTCGTAACTTTTTATTGTATCAAAGGCAATTAAAGTGATATTATCTGGTCCTTTTCTTTCCACTTGAAAAGAAACATAGAAGTACGTGTGAACAAAAGAATAGATGAGACATGCATAAAATATATAAAGCAGCATGTATGTTGAAGTGCAAAATATGCAAAATGGCGGCGATGATTGCAAAGACGACCATAAAGGAAGTGTCAGCAGGCCGGTCAGTGGTGACTAAATGGACTTGTGGCCATCAGCTCGTCTTTTCACGAGGCCTGACAAACGGCCGGTCCTTTACAGAGCACACACCTGTTACTGCGAGCCACTCGAGGTTTATCACTTAGAGCAGCTCTGCTTTTGTTCAGCCTCTCACTAAAAGGCCCTTTTTTTTTCTCCCCCCCTCACTCTTGGACACGGATGCTAACAAGGCAACAAATACTGTCAGCCTCACTCGGTGGCCCTGTGACCAGCCTGCCTTTTCCAAAACACATCTGAAATCTGCAAAGTTGTTTTAATTAACGGACACCCACAGCTGCTCGCTAGCTCCATCGTAGACATTAGTTTCACAGAGCTGCACGTACGAGGGTTTGCAGTCGGATATGCTGGTGTGCTTAAAGAACATTTTAAAGTCGAGAGTTGGTGTAAACATCGTAAACTGCTGCTGCTGCTGCGATCGGCCCGTGTGGAAGCGCATGAAGCGTTGTGCTGGTTTGTTTGCTCGCTCGGTCAGCGAAGCTGCTGCAGGGTCGGAGCCTGAGGGCAGCAATTGAAAATAAATTTCAGTTGAATAAGGGGCAGCGGCCGCATCAGCCCGAGCTGCTGCTAGAACAAAAGCAGTTGAGAGGATAAGTTATTGAGGCGGCTGACAGCCTGAACGAGGCTGATTATAACCGCCTGGTCGTGCTCTGTGTGCGCGTTATAGTGGGTGAAGCAGGTGCAGAGGCCATTCCCACTCCGGGTCTACCTCCCTCTCTCTCTCGTGGCCCTCGGGGATGCCTCGCGGCCCTCTGCCCTCCCGTCCTCAGCTGATTCCTCGGACTAATGTTTAACCCATACTGCCAAAACAGAAAGCATATTTCCATCATAAGAGCGCTCTGCCCATCGCCATTAGCGACGGAGCTCATTTGCATGTTAATTGTGCGGTTATAGAAGTGGTGTTGACACTTCTCTTTGTCCACGCAGGGTCGCGGGAAGTGAGAGGAGTGACATGCGTGTGTGCGTTATTGTTTCAGGCTGGTTGTGTCGTCTGTTATCATGGAAGCACAATGGAAAACAGATCACGTTAATTCAATAAGGTGCTATGTAGACTATGAGACTCAAATAAAGCTCCCATCTGTAAAATTATTAACGTACAAGAGGAAACTACGCTCCAAGTAAAGCCACTCAGACATAAAGTGGGTAATAATAAAGGAGGACGGAAGAATTCTAACTAAAAAATGGCAGAAATAAAAATAAACAAGTCCAGGAACTCAATGTTGGTTTGAAAAGTAAAAGCCTTTAAGACATTTCTTTCTTTGTTTTTGTTCCCTTGCATGAGAACCGGTGCTTATATGTAAAAAATAAAACACTTTTACCCAAGTTTCACATTTTAATGCAATTCTGATTTACTTATACTTATATACCCAATCATATAGACTTACTTCAGTACATCTTTTGAGGTAAACGTTATATTTTTTCAGTATTTTAGTCTTTTCTACTTTAAAGATTATACGAATAAAACACACTTTATTCATTACTACAAATGAAACTTGAACAATTCAGATGCTGCACTTAAATTAGGCAGAGGAAGCAATGCACCAGTGCAAAAGTAATCAAGTAAAAGTAGTAAAAATACTATTATGAAAGTGTCAAATTTATACTGTACAGGATTTTATTACTAAACAAAACCCCTCTTGCTATTTAATTTACTGTTTTTTAGCTGAATAGTTCAATTAATCTTATGTTGGTTGCTTTTGAAATGTAGTATGAGTGTGAAGTAGCAGGTAATTAGAGTACTCAATAAAAGTACGATACTTAAGTAAATATATTTGCGTACAAAAAATAAAAATTTCCCTCTTTTGTTAACTAGCT